CTGGGCTCAGCGGGGCCGCCTCAGCCCCGGGCCGGACCCCCGGAGCCCCGCGGCGCGGGTCCGGGGGGAGAAGCTTCTCGGTAAAATCCTTTTCCTTTTTCTCCCGTGCCCGGCAGGCAAGGCCATGGTCTGCTTCGGGGACATGTTCATCGAGCTCCCGCACGCGCGGACCAGGGAGATGCTGCGCCAGGGTAAGACCAGGGCCCCGCGCTGGGCGTTTGCTGCTCCGCTTGTTCCAAACTTGGAACTAGAACAAGACCAGGGGCTGAGTCGCCGAGTTAAGAGCGGTGTGATCAAAAGAAGGAACCAGGGAGTGAGTTCTTCCAACTTTGTCTAAACAATGGGTGTCCGAGTAACGCTAAAACGACGGATCAGAGGGGATCATCCTGCCCCGAGAGGTGCCGAGATGGAGGATTGTCCCGGAAAAAAAACGGCAGGAACTGGGGAAAAGATGGAGGCGGTGTGGAGGGGAGGCTGCGGCCACCGGCTCGTTTTTAAGGCCAAGAAAACGTGCCCTCCCCGCCCCGGCCTTGAGTTTGCGCAGAAGAATTAAAAGACGCTGTAATTAAGTCGAGCTGATTTGTTAACCAGCGAGGGACGAAGCGCGAAACCAACCCCCGGGCACTGCAGTAAACGCGTCTTTGTGTGCTCTGAGGTGTATAAATGCACTGAAGGTCTCTTTGGGGGTGCTGGCTGGGTGCAGTTACCACCAGCACCCCGCTCTGTGCGGGTGTGGGATTAAATCCCTCGGGGTGGGTGTTGGTGTGTCACGCACCAGGTACCGACCCCCCTCGAGGGACAACACCTGGGAATTCCAAACGCCCCAAACCTCCCGAGAGCGGTCACAGGCGGGTCGTGGCCGTCGCAGGGCCCCGGGAGGCGCGTTCAGGCACGGAGCAGCGCGGGGCTCAGCCCCCTGGGCAGGGTGGGACCCCGGGGCAGAGCCTGGGGCTGGGTTTCCCCATCCCTGAGCATCCTGCCTGTGCCCCAGGGCCCACAGTCCTCCTCACTCCTGTCCCGCTTGTCTCAGACCAGGAACATCTGGATGAGGAGATAAACAACCTCCGGAAGGAGCTGCGCGTGAAGGTCAACCGCCTCTTCGAAGCTCAAGGTAAAGGCTCCTGTTCTGGAACCGTCCTGATCTCTGGGAGCAGACGTCGTGTGTCGGGAGGGTCCAGAAACTCCTGAGCTCTGCGTGTTCCTGCAGCTGCCTTCCCACAGACTTGGCAATTCCTTCCCTGCTCCAGGGAATCGCATGGCTCCTGGTGCGGAGCTGTCACCCACCAACACGCTAAACAGGCCCCAACATCACACCGGGGTGACCCCACGTCAGCTTCCCTGCCCTCCCCACAGCCCCTCTAGAGTTTAATGTGGACTGCTTCACTTACAGCAAAATCCTGATTTTTTTCCTTATATTATCTCAGGTAAAGCTGAGCTGAAAGGATTTAACCTGAACCCCATGACCTCGGAGGAAATGAAGCTCATCAATCGCATCCTGGAGGGCTGAGGTGGCCGTGCCATTGTCACAGCACGCGTTTGGGCTGTCATCCGTGGAGCTCGTGCTGCAATAACTGCGGCCTTCGGGGGTTGTGGGAGGAGATTGGCCTGCCCTGGCCGAGGTCCCTGGGAAGCATTCGGCTCCTCAGCTATGCCGCTGCCATTCCCTTGGATCACGAACCCTTCCCTGCTCCTTGCTGCAGCCCGGAGGGCTGGGACACGGCTGGGGTGGAAGTGGGATTATTAAAATCAAAGCAGCAAGGCATTCCTAACTCCGTGTGGACGTTCCTTGTTGGGTTTTCACACGAGTGCTTCTGGAGTTTGGCTTCAGAGCTGGTTCATTGTCACGTCGAGAACAGGAGTAGGAGGCGTTGGGAATCCACGGCGTGCCCGAAGCACAGAAGCGCAGTTGTGAGCGCCCGTGGTATTAAAACAAAGCCAAGCTCTACATCTGAGGCACGTCAGGAATCTCTTTAGAGATGTGTAGGGAGGGACAGGAGGAGGCAGCATCCTTTTAGTCTCGCTGGGAAAAAATGTTCTGCTGTTAAGTTGGAAGGCAAGAGACCACAGAAATGAGGGTTTCAAAACGAAATGAAGGGCTGAAATATATGTATATTTAAAAAAGCAGCCTGAAGAGGGCTGGGCAGGAATAGTCACCCAGCCTCTCTTGTAGTAAAAGGACAATTGATTTAACCAGTAGTAGTTCCCTCAAAGGTTTTAAAATGTATTGTCTTTCACACCACCTCCTTTAGTCTGAACTTGTTACCCCAGCACAACTTGGTTAAGACCTTAAAATTTTTTAAAATTAATTGTAATTAATAATGGACTGTAGTAGTTTGATTTTTTTCCTGTGTACAGGAAAGCGGGTCCTGCCAAGCCCTTTCTTTTTTGAACTTCTGCAGAGAGATTTCTGGATTGAATTTTAAGACTTTAAAGGTGGTGGTTGTCCTCGTTTCTGTGGCTCTCGGGGTAGCTCACCCGTCCTGTCAAACCTCGCAGGCCTGACGCAGAGCTGGGCCCGATCCCTTGCTCTCTTCCCTTCTGCACAGCCCGGCAGATCGTTAAACCCAGCACCTGCGTTTTCCTGGCCCCCTGACCACCTCCCGGCCTAACAGGGCCAAGGCGCCTCCTCCAGGCAGCCCAGCACTGCCCCGTCTGGTTCCACACACACTTCCAATTATGCAGAGTTCCAAAACCGCCCCGTTTCAGACTCCTTAAAACTGAGACGGCTTTTTAGATTTAAAGAAACCACAACTACCATTGCTTGATCTAAGTTTTAAAATTCTGTAGCTAACGCCATGTACCCTAAATGTACAACTGCAAGAAGCGAGGCTGTCCACTTCAGGCTTAAGTTTCAGATACACAAATAACATGGACTTACTACCCGAACTGTCTCGCCTGCAGCTTTTCCAGAAAACTGCATCTCCCCTGGAAGCGAGCGGCAGCATCGGTGCCAACCCCCCCGCCAGAGCTCTTACACAACCCCTGCAGTACAGCCACTCGCCGGCTCCGTACCGTGATGGTGAGGTTATTTTTACAGTATCATGGCAACAGGTTTTCTGCTCTGACACGTTTCCATAGTAGTAGCAGGAGGAGGATCAGGTGCCTGCCCTTCCCTAAAAGCTTTGTTTTGCCCCTTTGTTTTCTTACATGGTAGAGTGCTGGCAGGGCAGAGGGACAGCCCAGAAGCCAGCACCCCCTGTGCCCCCTGTCACCATCACACAATTATCTCGTCACTGCAGCTTCCAGGCTGGGCAGCCTTCTGAAGAAGGAAGGCCAGCGCCTTGTGCTGGTCACCAGTGTCCAGAGAGAAGTGGGAACTGCTGCTGCCCGCTATGAGGAAGAGAGAGTGAACTTCATCCATGGTGACCTCTCCCATCCCAAGCTTGGGATCAGCATTACACTTGCTGCTGTGCAGGAAGGTTCCCGAAAAGCTGCTTCAGTTTATTCCTCTCGTTGTAGCAGCCTGCACTGAAGATGTTCACAGAGGAGTTATACATCCCCTTCCTGTAGAGAGAATGTAATTCCCACTTTCAGGTGAAGCTGCACTTGCATTTTGTTAGAAACTACAGCCAGAGACAGCTGCAGGCACACCGAGCTGCAAACTGCAAAATAAAGTTATGATACACGTCAGCCTCGGGGAACTGTGACTTCAGAATCCGAGAGCTACTTCCCAACAGTAGCGTACACAGCTTCAGGGAAGTGCCCAGCAAACGGTCACCACAGTGACTGCAGAGCTGGTCTTGCAGCAAAACTGGCCTGTGAAGAACTCTGCTGTGACTTAACGCTTGGAAAAGGGGACTACGAACAAAACTGTTCCCACTACATTGACCAGACCAAGCCTGGTCGCTTCCACCCGCTTCTGGAAAGCATTTGCTCCTTTTATTCTCTTCATCCCATACGAGCTCACAGGCCCGATCTCGTTCTCTTGTTCTGGAGTGAAAGGCGTGTGCTCTCCCCTTGCTGACGTGCAGGTGGCTTGTGGAGGCGAGCAGGGCACCCTGCCAGCCTGGATGAGGACGCACCCACACGTGTGTTCTCCCCAAAGTTCTCGCTCACCCGAGTGCCCTGGTGTCCCCTCCGCCAACGGGCCCGTCGCTCCGTATCAGCTCAGAGCCTCCAACACGCCTCCTTCCCGTCAGCCTACAACATCAAACACACGTCCTGGAGTACCCAAGCGATGACAATTATCTGCCTGCGCACAGGAATAAACTCCCAGACAATCAGAGACAAAGCTGGACAGCTGAAAGCAGTGGACATCTTCCTACTGTTAGCACCTGAGGTTAGCACAGGCGTAAAGTCGGTCACAAAACGCCACAGGATGAGCTGCTGGGGACAGAGCCCCAGACGTGGCGAGGGCAGGAGGCACAATGCAGAAAGGCTCTCAGGGAGAGCTTGGGTGCAAGTCCCAGCTCTGACACGGACTCCGTTCCCTTTGCAGCCCCGTGCCGCTTGGCATTCCCGCTCTGGAGTGGCAGTGTGCTTGCTTACTTTGCTCTGTTTCTGGAAATTCATCATTTCACCGCTGTAAGGGTTAGAATATCACGATCAGTTGCCAGGAAAGACACGGAACCAGAGCATCCATTCCAGACATTTTTAAAAAAACCCCTAGAAGGTAATAACCATCTTTGCCTGCCTGCTCTCCCCGTCCACAGTATGAAATATGGCTTTGAGAGGATGACACTTGAGTTCACGCTCTTCCGGGCTACTGGCAGTGCGGGAAGGTGAAGCATCCATAATACCTCCAGAAGCCAGCTGAGGAGATCCGATGACACTAAATTAGGGAGAAACAGGCAGTTTTGCCAACGGTTCGTCTAAGAGAAAGGCCTCTCCACAAAATCATTACCCTGCTAGCAGGCAGGAGTATGTGTGAAGCAATAGGAAATCCAACCCTAAATCTCTTTCCCATGCGCCGAGCCAAAGAACATTCTGAGCTTATTGCAAAGTTTCTATTCCTGTTCTCGATGGTACTAACGCAAAAAAAAAAAAAAATCCCTCTAGCTTCCAGCAAGACATACAAGTGAAAACCAAAGTCTAGCCGAAGCCGTAAGTGCCGAGGAGAATTCGCAGAAGGAGCATTAACCCCTTTTTAGTGGCGGAATGTGGGTGTCTCCCGGGAACAGCTTCCGAGCACGGCGGCGTTCAAAGAGCTCCGAGAGCCCCCGAGCACCCTGACGACCGCGAGGACTTTCACTCCGACTCATCCATTTCCCGAGCAGCTGAAGTAACTCCAGCTCTTTAGGTGCGGGCTGCCTAAGCAGGATTTTGGTTTGAGGCGACGAACAAGAGTAGATTGTGCAAATTAGAGCTACCCAGGCTCACAGCTGAGCTGCATTTATTCGCTCACTAGAAATAAAGCTGTCCCCAGTGGCACCACGTGAAATACGGGATGAAGCTGGCAGGACACGGGGCTGCAGCAGGTACACCAGCCACCACGTCTCGTTAGAGGGAAGAGTTGAAATAAATTAGGGAAGACATTTCGTAGGAGAGACTGTCAACATAAATCATACCTAAGGGAAATTTCCTTACCTATGGTACCGCTGGCACTTTACATGATTAAGGCTGAAAGAATAATAATCCTATTTGCTTGTCATTTCTGAAGTACTGTTTGCTGTTTCGGGTTTTCTCAGCTCCTGTAATGACAAGCCAGTTGCGCTCTCGGGTTCCTGCTGTTGCAATACTTGGGTTGCATATGGAGCAGATAAAATTCTGAGAATTTCAGCTCAACTTTAATAGTACATATTTCTCACTTAGCCAGTGAGAAAACCTGTATTTAAAAAAAAAAAAAAAACAAAAACAACAAAACCCTCTAGGGTCAAATTACATTTTTAAAGGGGTTTTTGTTGCTGTTTTGTTTTAAATACCCTCGACTCCTGTGGAGTCCTTTTCCCCACAATTAGCAGAGCCCTTCCAGCTGGGGGCTGCCTTTTAGCCACGGGTTGTGTTTAGTGCTGGCAGCCCAGTGGCACTGGCCGGAGGTTTATCGGTGCTGATGGGGCACTGCCGTAAGGTATACGGGCAGAAGAGAGGATAGGAACCCTCCATTTCTGGCAAGTGCTGTGATACTTGTGTGACATGCTGATACTTGAGGGGAACATATTCCAGAAATAGCCAAATTGGCAGGGTTTCACAACGCAGGGCTAGAGATCCTGCAGGCAAAGTTGCAGAGTGCTGCACCCAGCTAATAAACCCTGATACTCGGAGCAGCAGCAGCTGTAGCCTTCCAGATGGCAGCTCCCTTCATGTAAAACCCTTCAAGCCTCTCTACACCTCGCAGGAGCATGTTGCTCCCTCTCAGCCAGCCTGCAAGCACCTACCTACAGGATGCAGAAGCATCACGAGAGACCCCAGTGCCGGGGAGAGCAGCTGGCCTGATGCGTCAGGATGTCAGAGCTGTGGAGCCCAAAGCAGCGGCTGCTGCTGCTCGTCACCTCCTGAACGCTCCGGAGGCTGCGGATGAAAGTGTCTGTATCCGCAAAGAGAACTTCCACCGACCCTGCCCAGCGGCTCAGTCACCCCCCCGCAGCCCTCAGGCACCCAAACACAATGATAGGGAGCCGTTCCCAACAGATGACCACACCGATACCCACGTCATTTTTCTCAGTCATCACCCTACAGTCTCCACAGCCCAGCAAGAATTCTTTGTGAAAAGCCAGAGCCCAGAAGGCAGCGGCCACCTGGCCCACAACGCAGCTGAACTCCTCAGGCTTGACAACTGTATGGCTGCGGGGAAAAACAGTCCCCAGGTCCCCATCGGAAGCTCCCCAACAGC